GTTATTTCTCCTGCCATTTCGGCTATTTCCCGCCTATTTCGGATTATTTCAGACTATTTCGCGCTATTTCGGAGTATTTCAGGGGTATTTCGCGACTATTTCACTAACTATTTCGCGTCTATTTCATATTTATTTCGCTCTATTTCGCTTCTATTTCGCCTCTATTTCGGACTATTTCGGCGGGAGGTGTACGAACTATTTCGCAAGTGATTTCCCCCTCGCCCTCTCCCCGAAGCCTATGTTTCTTCAATATACCCAGTGACTTATAGGTCGGGCCGCAGGCTCGACAAAACGTCGCCGGCAGACTAAGCAGTCCCGGCGGCGCCCGGCCTCTACCGGACGTAGTTGCCTGCGGAGCCAAGAGAAGCTGGCAGCTTCGTTTCGCGGAAGGGCGGGCCTCCTTGATCCCGGGGCGATGGCGACGAAGGTAACTAGTAGATATGGTAAATACGATCAAATCTTACATCTGACTTTTCGCACTGAAAATCTGCATCAGATCAAGACCACAATAATTTTTTAGATGCAAAATACGAGATGCTGGTCTTCTGTTCTTATGTTGGTTGGCTTATCAGAGAAGTGGAAAGGTAAGGACACAAATAACTATGGTCAGTGCAAGGTTAACGCCTGCAGGCAGATGGTGGGAATCAATGGCGTGCAGTGCGATAGAGGCCGTCATACGGTGCGTTTGAGCGGTCCTGTTGTCGAGAAACTCATCGCTGCTGTGCTGTGACGGTGCCCACCGGTGACGATTATAACGGCAGACTAAAACGTTATGAATTATTGTTCCTCGGGCAGGAGCTACCAACCGAGGTGAGATATATATGGGTTTTTACCCACAGAGTTAAAAGTCGAGAAATTTTACAGAAGAAGTAGGTATACTTAGTGCCAAATGATAGATTGGTAGAATTACCATAGTGTGTAAAATTACAGAACTCTTTAAAACACGTTCCTGAAAGTATGTGGAATGAGGTATTTCAGCGATAAGAAGAAACAAGAAGAAGTTCCAAGATTGCCGCCGCGGAACATAACAATTGTAATGTTGGTTTAAAGTAACAACTGTTTTCCGAAAAGCGGCTGCTAGCAGACGTTCGCGGTCTTATGTACGGTTTAGAGCCTAAATAACGTGAGGAGTGTCCGTTTCGGTCGTGATTGGTAACGGTAGAACCGGAAAAACGAAGCGAACGTGATAGAAATCATCGTTAAAAACAATTAAAAAAGCAAAGTTCCGCAAAGACGTTGATGAACCTGCGTATATTCTTTCTACCGTTGAGTAGTGACCTATGCGATCACGATACCGAGAATCTCAGATCTGTACTGATAATTTTGCCAGTTAAAATGTAAGCATTTTGTGCAAAAATTTATTACTTTCGTAAAATTTAACTTAACAATGACAATTACTGACAAGAGGGCGGCAAAAATCAGCAACTTTATGAGAGTGTAGTAACACTGATCGAGAAGTCGACACCTCAAATTTTTGCGCGATCCAGGAGTGCTTAATACGTGGAGTACATCCGGAGTACACCAGGAGTGCACGAGGAGTACACCCGGAGTACACCAGAAACTCCGTTCGGAACGGGCCGGGCCTGCTTGGCCTGCCGGCGGCGATAGTTGGGCCTTTGGCCCGAACATTTCTGTCACGCGATTTGCTGCAGAACATAATCAAATGATGTAACGGGCCTACGGCCCGCTAAATCCCGTCGTCTTTAAACTTTGCCCTGTTGACACGAGAAATTGATATAACGGTGAAGCACCGCGACTACAACCCACTCTTCTGCTTAGAAAACGTTTTTTGAGGTGGGGTCTTTCCTATTTTGCGGTTTTTAGGGCTTTGTCTACAACTTATTGTTCACTACACCAATTTTTAGCTTATATTCGTCAAAAAGACCCTCCAGTGCCTAAACGAGTAGAGATAGAGCAAAACGGACGAAATTTTCTCTCGGAGGACTCTACTTTGACGATTTACCCGATAGGAAATCATCAATAAAAATCTGACTTCTTCGACCTACCTCATTTGCTTTGATACCCCCTTTCAGCCCCTTGGGGGTGGTTGCCAGGATTTGCCGTAGGCGTTTCGTTTTCTAGGAGTGAACCTTAAGATACCCTGAAAATTTGAAGTCTCTAGCACATCTCCTTCTAGTGGAACAGACAGACAGACACGAGGTCATTTACATAAGCACGCTAAATAGCTTTTCTAAAGCAGAAGGGCGGGCTATAAACTGTAGGGACTACAAACTAACTGGATTTGTATCTTTTATTTGTTCGAATTTAAGCAATCTAATTTTTAGCACACGTTTCTGCGTTTATTTAAACACTTTTGTGCATTAATTCGCACGAAATCATGCTCCTGAGCCTGAGCTGGCGCTTTCTTCGTGATTCGAGGGTTAACTTTAAAATTTCTAGCTGTTCCGGGCTGAAAGTTGAAGGGGCACGGCCCCCCCACCCTGAAAATTGGGGGGACACGTGCCCCCCCGTCCCACCACCCCCTTCCTGTCCCCATAGGCTCCTACGCCCGTGTAGGAAATGACACGCCTACGGCAAATCCTGGCAACCAACCCTAAGGGGTAACTCGAGAAGGAAGTAGACTTCTTTGGGCTATAATTTTGTCCGTTTGGCTCTATCTCTCACCGTCTGGGCGCTGGAGGGTCTTTGTTGACGAAAATAAGCTAAAAATTGCTATCGTGAACATTAAGTTGAAGAAGAAGGCCTCAAATCGCAAAGTGGGGAAAACTAACTCCCCCCCCCCGCCCTTAAAAAAAAGGGGTTTTCTAAGCAGAATTTATTTCTTATTTATTACGATAGCTGGCCGATAACGATTTTCGTACCAAGGAAAAAAGATAGTATAGGGACAGAATCATTTTTCTTACTTCGTATATCGCACCCATCGCACCGATACACTGAGAAAAAAATTTCTCCCAAAGGACGATACACTTGTCTATTGTGTCTTATTGGTCCTAGCACTTAACATTTAGTTCCAACGATCTGAAACTTTGGTGGCAGGCAATAAACATGTGAGGCTAGGCAACAAACTTTTTGTCCTAAGAGCAAATTGTTTAGTGCGTCAAAAACTTTCTGTCTGGGGACGTAAAGTCCAATGATCAGGACTAAACATTTTTCTCAGTGTAGTCCACATCCTTTTTGCTGCACTGTGTTTGACAATCGTACGACAGTTCTGTGCTACCAGGGGGGGCGAAAACCTGGATCTGTGGTGAACTGTTAGCGTTTTAGGTGTGGACGTGGTCGCAGAAGTAGACTGGGAGGCCGGCGGCCAGGCGGGAAAAGTAGATATAGGGGCCCGGATATGCCGAGACAGGGGTCCGGATTTGCCTACCTTCCAGGAACAAGTCAACGTTTTGGTCCGGCGCAGCACAGTAACATTACAACATGTGCTATTATTATGACCGTACGTCCATTTGCACTATGAAATTGGGTGAAAAAGGATGGCATAAAATGTTATGGGTGTAGCTAGTATTAATGTTACATGATGCAATTTATATGGATAATTCAAAACAGTAGCTGCAGGCGACATATTTCATCTGAAGGCTCAGGATATCTGTCAAGAACATCTGTATGGACCAAACTATCCGCTACATCCCGTTCTACAGCGATAATCATCCCATCGTTTAGAAATTTATCCGACATTCGAGACCTTAAACGATAAAACCATCGCCTCTCCTTCTTTTTGTTTGTCAGTATGCGTGCTGTGCTTGTAGTGGCACTCTCTGCCTCCTGCCTCGCTGTCTCAACTACACTAGCCTCGCCCTTACCCCCATCAACTGGAGGGCCAGCACGGCAGGATGCACGGCACGTCCTCAAAGGCGGCGCTGTCTACACGCATGAGAGCCTCAGGAAGTTCGCCAGTGTATGGGGCCACGACTCTGCAGCGCATGGTGAGTTTACTCTGGGTCAACGGTCAACAGCAGGTATGGGATGGTGTTGTGCCATAACATATGAGTAACGAGTGTACTTGCAAAAGGCACATATCTGCACATCAGACGCCCTGTAAGAGAAGGTGGGGTACGCAAGGAGGCCTATCTGCTCTGGTGCGAGCGCTTTTTCCTTCTATTCCCCGTACCCAAAAGCTACAGGCACATGGAAAAAATTGTTAGTTGTGGCAACCGAAAGTCGATCGCCACGACCATTTCTATCGATAGATACCAGCAGTATCGACTTTCTGATTGTGACAACCAAGCGGGACAGCTGGAGCAGGTGTAGTGGCGACAACCAGCGGGTTGATCGTGGCAACCAGAACCCCTCATAGGACGAATCGAACTTTACTTGGTTGCAGGAAGTAGGTCTATTTTACACCTCGTGGCTGCAGATAAAAAGTTGATCGCTGTGATCGTTTTGTCGCCTTGGAGGACATACAAAACGGGCGTCAATTTTTTGTCTGATTTTTGCCTGGGGGGCCCTGTGTTGGACATAAGTTTACATAGTATATTGGCAGCAGTGAACATGGCAAAAGATTTGAGGATAAAAATTGATATAAGCATATGAAAATTTTACAATAAAAAGGTTGCTGAATTATTAAAATGAGTTTTGACAAGCTTTTTAAAATAATTGAATACAGTAGTGAATTTGACGGCATCTGGAAGGCTGTTATAGAGGAGGCAGCTCTTATAGTACACACTTTTGAGGCCATATTTGGTGGATTTAATGGGAGGAATGTTGATATTGTTGTTAGACCGGGTATTGTAGGAATGGATATTGGAATTTTGGGTGAGTTGGGGAGTTAGGATTTTATTGGAGTGGAGGTGATTGTAGATTATTAGGACGGATTGAATTTTGGAGATGGTTTGAAAGGGAGTAATTTTGGTAGCAGAATATAGGTTGGTAGAAGGGAGACGGGGTAGGCTGTGGATTGTCTTAAGTGCACCTTTTTGCAGCGTGGTGACTCTAGTAGGGATACTCTTGTTGGCATGGCCCCAGATTCCACATAGGTAGGAGATATGGGAATGAAAGTAGGCGAAATATATGGTCTTTAGTGTGGAGACATCTAGGGTACTATGGAGGCGATAAATAAGTCCAGCGGCTGCTCTAAGTTTCGGAGTCAGGTGGTTCAGGTAATCATTCCAGTTTAGATTTTGATCTGGGTACAGTCCCAAGTACATGGCAGAAGAAACTTGTACTATTTCTTGGTTTGCGATTTTGACATTGAGATGCAGGGTTGGACTAGCTGGTTTTTTGAAGATGACATAGTTCATTTTCTTTGCGTTCAAAGTTAGTTTGTTTTGGCAGAACCAAACATAGAGGGCTTCTAGGTCTTCCTTAATTAGATGCTCCAGCTCCTCAGGGTTTGCTGCCTCATAGAAGAGGACAGTATCATCGGCGAACAGCTGGAGTTCACCATGAAGGAAAAGGGTGCCCACATCATTAATGTAGATTAGGAAAAGTACACTGGAAATCCTGGAGCGAGTATTCTCGCTCTCCAGGGAGCGAGAAATGTGCATCAAATTTTATCGTTCTCCAGAGAGCGAGATTTTAGGATATCGCTCTAATCTGGTATTAATAATTTAACATCGCTCAATTGGAGTATGAGATTTAAAACCTCGCTTAGTTTAAGTATTAAGACTATACCAGTGCTCTTGCTGATCGCCGTCGAATAAATCATCTGTGACCAAATGAAACTCTATTGGACAAAACGCGCTCACCTATCATTACAATATTTCCCTCTCTTCAACATGGAACAGTATGTATACAGTATGGAACAGTATGTTTAAGTACCATTTA